CCTATATTCTACAACCTTGCATAAAAAATGAGACTTCTCATTACCTGTGTGGTATTGTTAGAAAATTCAACTTTCAGGTCTTGTTTGAAGACAAGTTGTCTGTCGCCATCATCTGAAGTGAAGAGCTGTGTGCCATCGTCCACTTGTTCTTGCGCGGCAGAAAAGTCGTTCACTTTACGAACGAGCTGATCAGACAAGAAGAACCCAACCTTTAACTGAAATGAAAAAGAGAACAAACCACTTAACTTTTTCTTCGCAGACGGACTATATCGGGGATTTTATGACACGTCCGGCTGCAACGCAGGCTAGATTTCAAAAACCCCGAAACTGTTTCAGAGTTGTAGAGTCATTGGGATTCCGTGATGTCACCGAGGTATCACTAAATTCTCTGTATTTCCATTAGCATTAAAGTACAGTGATTAGAATGGAGAATTAACAGCTTGATCGCAGAAATCTTATTGCAAGGTCTTAATTAGAAGTGCTTAAACTGGCTTACGACACAGGCAGTTCCTTCACCATGGCATTTTTGCACCGTAGAATTTCGCTTTGTTGATAAACTTAAACAATCAAGTTGACAATTCGTCACATCCTATTTCTTTTTCATGCGGTTAGGAATGGGAAGGGGAAATTGAGAAGAGGGAGGCAGGAACGTACTTCACAAATCAGCTAGCGCAAATGAAGGAGAAGTTTAGAGTTGATGTTACTGTACGGTCTTAGAACTGAAGTCTTCAAACTGGCTCACGGCACGGAAAGTTTCTTTGCCAGCGCATTTTTGCATTGAAAACGCGTCACATCCTATTTCTTTTTGACGCCATTTGAAGTGGGTAGGGGAATAGAGAGTTGGCAGACAGAACTTATTTTATAAACCCACCCCGCCAATGTACGTGAAGAAGAGGTTCAATGTTTATGCAATATTAAATAACAATTCTCAACATTTCGAGGTTGCAATATACGATAACACTCTCTTACCCAATTCTACAAAATATTTATGAAGTAAATACCGTAAACTGCCGCTTTTAAGCTCCGGGCTTATACAACTTCGTAAGGGTTTTTAGACGGGCTTATAAACGGCTTATAAAAAACCCGTTTCGAAACGAGCTATAGCTGCACATGTTGATTGAAATAGGTTTTTCATTTACTGGTAATTAAGCTTTAAAACATCATAATAAAACGAATTCAAAACAAGAAAAGCTAGAGGGGGGTTTATATCCAGGGTGGGGGCTTATATCCGGATGTATTTTTTGGTTACAGGTGGATGGGGCTATAACCAGGGGGGCTTATATGTGGAGGGGCTTATAAGCGGCAGTTTAAGGTAGTCTCTTAATGGAGCCCAGTAAGGTAAGTATAGTGTCGCAAAGTCAGTTATCAACAACAGTTCTTTTCAGAGCTAACCTCACTCAGACAATCACACTATAGGAACTACTGATACTCCTGGGTTCAAACAATTTACTATGATAAGTATAGTGACATCATGAGGTCAGTGTGACATACCACATAATCATCACAAATGAGTAACTGAAATTAATAATTAAGTTACCTCTAATGTTTTAGTAGGCTTGACCGTTATACTGCCAGGAGCCTGGGTTCTAGATGTTTTAGCCGATGGAGGAGGCTCGGTGGACATAATCTTGAACGGCGCCTTCGCATCAAACCTCATGGTCAGCGGTGTTTCAGTGGTGTTTCCCAACACGAACCGATGAACCAGCGGCGTTGCCCCGTGGAGCTGGTAAATATTAGGTAACAATGTTACAACAGATGAATAGAANCGACTATTTCGCAAGGCATTCCACCCCCAATTTAAAATAAAAATTTGCTACATTTTGTTTCTCAAAACTTACCGAAGAATTGGTGCCTGGTCTTTCATCATCTGGAAGTTCAGCGGACATCCTACAACATCCATCTTGACAGGAATGTACACAGGGTCGATACCTTCAATCTGGGGAAAAGTGTGTCACGCAAAACTGTGTAACAATGTCATGAAATTCAAAGCTTGCGTAACATAAACCTTTCTCTAGTTGTAAAATTGATACAGCGTGATGCATACTTTGCAGAATGCAGTCTCTGAACCGTGCAAGAAAAAAAAAAAAGACTTGCGCGAGTTTGAATTACAATTTCATGGTGTTCATTGAGGCGTTACATAATAGCACACATGTAGTGCTGTGTTACTGCGTAACCAGTTATAGAATCATCGCGGCGTGACACACACCTTACAGACCAGTAAATCTCTGTAGGCGCCCCACATGTCACTGTGGCCAGTGATTTCAATCATTTGATAACCAAATGGTAATAGCTCTCCCGAGGCTGGACTTGGCACAAAGGCTGCTCCCCGTCTGTCACGCAAGATGGCGTGACAGTAATCTAAAAAAACACAAATTAAAAAGACGATCAGTTGCAAGACTGGGAGAAAGTTCGTCCACTCTACTCACCCAACCCCTAGATGGGATGCTAGTCCACTGCAATCGTCATTGTCAAAACATTGTTATGTCATCACTTCTCTCCTAACCGTGAGAGCCTAGCCTGTCCACAGTGTGTATTTTACTAACGGTCTTCTCAAAGAATGACTAAATAACGAGAGGAAGGTAGGAATACAGAGGAGGGGGCAGCGGAAGAGGGAGGGAAGCGGGAATAAGGGAAGACAGGAGGAAATAAATTGTGCTTAGGCCCTAACCTGCATGAGCTTTAATAGCCGTCTTGCTGATTGGGTCAGCAATATTCGGAGTTCTTCCCAAAAGTCTTGCCCTGTGGACAAACCAACAGAAAGAAACGTTTTCAAACTCAGTGTCCTTTGAACCCCAAATTGTAGGTTTTCTTGTTGCGGCAAAGCTTTCGAAAAGCTCATCTGCAAGGTGTTTGAATCCACGACCTTCTCCGAGCCATGCTGATCAATTTTTCCCTTTGCTTCAAGTTACAAGGAAGAAAGCGGGTGTAGAGCATATGACATTTCCAACATTGTCGGTATAGCAACGGTACATCAATCCGGAGATGACCAGCTCAAATCTCGTTAAGTTAAGACAATTTCTCTGTACTTCAGACGTTGGTTTGATTATTTTTTTGGCAGCTACAGCTAAAAATGAATTTATGACGCTAACGACCGTTTCATAATAATGTGTAAAATACGTTACATAAGTAATGAAACCAAAAGCAAATTGCAGATTTTGTTAAGAACAGCAACAAACAAACAAGCAAACCTTTTGCCTTGAGGAGCACCTAATGAAAGAAGAAAGATACAAAAAAAGTAAGATACGCCTTTAACAACCGTAAGTTTTCTTTTTTTTTCTTTTTTTGTTTTGTTTTGTTTTGTTTTTTGGAGTAACTAATATTTTTCTGGCCTTTTTTGGGCGTTACTTAACAGTAGCAAAGAGTTGTGATCAGACCCTAATACAATTTCCTCAGGTAGATACGGGCCAAGCAGCGAGCGGGAAAAGGGGCGCGTGAGAACTGGACGCGAGGCCACTTGTCTCGAGTTTTCAAGTGGCCACTGGCTGCTTTCTTCGCTCCCCGCTCGACGTTCTTAAGTAGCGACTGCTCCCAGTTCTAGTCTTTTCAACGACGGATGTTTTAGGTTATCTATCAGTCAATCTGCTTACCATCTGGCGGAGTTGGCGGTTTAGCCGCTCTGAAGTGGTCCATCTCTAAACTAAAACGAGCTCTGATAGCGGACGTGTTGGTGAGAACAAGAGTCGTGCGGGGACAACTGGCCAGCGGTACCGTTTCAAAATCTAGCAGCAACTCGCGGTTGTCAAGGGAGGTTTCTTTGATCTCTTCAGGTCTGAAAAGAAAACAGGACATTCTTTTTGGAGGACTGTAGCCGCGAAATGGCGACCTATTTCCTTTCATGAAAGATAAAATCATAGTGTTGAGAGAGACTGTACGTTAATGGGAGGTCACGAAAGTCTCAAAGTAAAATTTTGCAACGAGGTTATGACGGCTATGATTGAGTTTTCTGAGAATGATATTGTCCAGTAGAGCTGGGAGGACATATCAAAGGATTACTCTAAAATACAAAATGGATTGAGTGAGCTTTCGTTAGGGGAAAGGGCCTTCATTATAACATTTCAGTAAATGTTCGTAATAACAAGATAACTGTGTATTTAAAGGGTTCTCCTATAGGTTCTCCCACAACTGCAAGCGCGTAACTCGGGTTTCGGTCGCTGAACCCCTCCACCCGCCCCCGCCCCCCCCTTAGATGGGAGGCTTGTCCATCTCAGGTTCCTCCCCAGCATTCTTTCAGGCTGCCCCAACAACTGGACAGTACCCATAAATTTATACTCCTGGGTGGAGAGAGACACTTTTAGAGGAAAAGAACTTATCCAAGGATAGTAAAAAATAACCCAGAGCGGGATTCGAACTTGGGCCGTAACTGTTTAGACCATCGCCACCAAGTTGCCCCTCCCCCCTCCCCACACGTCGCCCTCACCAGAAATCTTCAAGACCAGCCGATGGAACTTAAACTTACCTGTCAAGATCAAAGATCTTTGGAGTCTCGAACGTGACACTCAGGCCCTGCACGTCAGCTGCAATTGATAGCCATACGGGGTCCGGCATTCTAACCACCTCACAACACGTGATTAGATCGCTAACAGGGCCCTGCGGGACAGTTTAAACAACAAATCATGAAGTACTAGATTTAAATCAAAGAGCCAGAATCGACACTATGCTAAAGAGATGAGATTGGGTTTCAAAATTAATACGCTACCTGTTTATGACCAGTGAATGTAAGTTTGATGGATCGCTCTTCTCTGGGCTCCAGCCATCCCTGTTTAGGTTCGAACGTTAAAGTGTAGTCTCCTTCCAGGATCTGGAGCAAATAAGTTGAAAGCGTTACAATGACAAACAGATTCGTGATTATAAAGCAACAACAACAACAACAGCAACAAAGCAAAGTCAATCGGCCATTTCTGAGTTGTCTCTGTGTCAAAACGAGTCTTAGTGCGAAACCATTCATAAGAAAATATGTTCCGCTTACATGTTTATTGCCACGCAAATCAAACTCATCTTCATATGAGAGGTTTTGCACGGGGACTCGTTTTGAACACAAAGTATCTCGGAGATGGCCTATTTTTTTTGTTCATTTGAACAGTGGCCTATTGTCGAGAACAACTGAAGCCAGATGAGCTTGAAAAGTCAGATGAACTTGAAAAGACAGATACGTGTGAAAGAGATATCCGCGTTTCGAGTCGAAGAATTCCATTCTGATGACGTAGCTCTTGAGATCTGTATGGCGGTCCACGATTGGCTGCTGTTCAGACCTGAATTTTCCCGCCTAAGTAACAACCAATCAGAGACCCTGTACGAATCCCTGTTAGCTGCATTATCAGAAAAAATCTTTTACTTCAAATCTCAGAAGTGGTGCTTGCAATGGATGAAAAAATAGTTACAATTTTGGACAAATCCTTTTTTAGAGATTCACATAAATCAGCGTTACTTTTGCTTGCGCATTTGCTTTGTAGTAATCTTTTCCTGCCTCCTTTCCAGTCGATGTTAACCCCTTAAGAGTTACATTTCACGAGGAAAGCTTTTGTTCCTTTGTCTCCACAACTTATCTATTTAAAATTGAGGCAATACCAAGAGTTTTTCTCCAGGTTACAAGAAAAATACTTAGATAAATGTTAACATTTGTAAAAAGCACTTAGTGCTTACCTCTTTCCACGCAAACTGGGTTTTCAATAGCGACTGATTATGAAGCACGACTTCTCTGCTGACCGGAACTCCTAAATAGACCTTCTCGATGTACATGTCGCAGGATAGCAGGCAAACTTGAGGTCTTTGCACCTCGGCAAACACGGATAAATAGCTGAAGGAAAATTAAAGATGACAAGACAACAGTGTTAGTCTCAGAGGAACTTTTTAGCATAGATGCTTCTTCGCTGTTACCGTAGAGGAGAACTTTTCCATTGTTTAATTGTGATGAAAACTACAAATAACTACAAAACGAATTAAAATTTAATCTAAAGGTGCTCACTGTCTAGAAAAGGAAAGCGATTCTTGAAACAATCAAGAGGTAAACTTTGCACCAATCAGTGCATGACCTACGCTGTAACTGTCCAATCACAGAAGCTTTAGCTAGCGAGCGCTCCAAATTGTCGGGAAACTGCCAAAAACCGTTTGACCTCAACAGTGTTTCGCTTGAAATGGGACCAATGGTGAAACATTTACTTGCCACCAGAAACGTACTTATGAGAGCTGCAATAATTGGCGTTTCAAATTTGGTCAACACTAGTTAAATCAACTTATCGCCTATTTTCTATACACCACAAAACGTATGGCAAATAGGGAGGGCAGTTGGTATGGTTAACAGCTTTAGGTACCTGGGGTTTCCATTCTTGACGTCACACTGTAACACAGTCCTCACTCTGCCCACCAAGCCTATCTCGGTTGGTTTAAATAACACTGCGATTTCCTGGCTCTCTTGCGGGCCCAGGACTCCTCCAGCGGGTGTGAACGAGAACACAGACATGGCCGTTTTGCCTTCAGACTGCTATAGAGAAAGCGGAAGTACACATTTTAATTAGGAGAAAGAGTTTCCGCGAAGTCAAAACGTTTCCTTTCACAACTGATGTGTTGTCTGCGCTGGGAGCCAGAGTTTAGGGCGGTCCTTTCAAAACGGCGTAAAAAAACAAAAACACAAGCGTACGGAAACGATTGATTTACAGGGACAATTATATAGCGAGCTTGTTAAAACGCACCTGAATGTGGCGAGGAAGTTGTGAAAACTTTCTCAACATTAGAATCAAATATTTTCACCTCGTAACTTAGCATAACAAACAAAAAACGGGTTTCTAAGAATCAACGCTCCTTGAGCAGTACCTCAAGACACTCCGGAGATTCCTGGATGCTCCACTCTGCCGAAATACTAGATACGTTTTGGATACTGATGTGCTGATAGCCATGCAGTTCTCTGTAGCGAACAAGATTGAAATTCAGGTCCGGGCATGTGAACACCACCTTTGGTCCCTGACACAACAAACAACATGATAAGAACGGCCGTTACAAATGTATTGAAAATGCACAGTTTTGTTATTACAACTTTAATATAATTTTATCAAACACAAGAGAAAGTATCTCATCACATTTCTTCGTAATCGACAAAACAAAGCGCAGCGGAGTATTTGGCACCAGCTTTAAGGTGTTTGAAAATATAATGGAACACTGTGTCCAATTTTAATATTTTCTTTCAAATGAAAATAAACTAAGAAGAACAATTAGAAACAAAACTGTTAAATTCTACGCTAATTAAAATCCGGTATTCAAACCACGGCTATGATGAAGAATTGTTCACATTTTTCTGGTATTTTTACTTAAGTTGTATCTTTTAACTAGTATTTCTAAATTACGATTTTAACTTAGCACCACGGCCCCACAATCGACAGCTTTATTTTATTTGTTATCTTGTGGAAAGAAATTGTATCGTTGCGTGGCGTTCCGACATGCGTCCATACTATCATAGACGCACATCGTCATTACAACCAATTCCGCTTCATTATCCTGTCAAACCAGAGGAAGTTGCGTTACGTTACGTTGCATTGCGTTGCGTTACAGACATATTCATCTTGATTTCTCACTTAGTGTGCACTTACTTCAAAGCTAGCCTTGACATAAACATACACCGGAGCCGAGGAGTGGTTCAAGTCACATAAGATCGTCTCCTCTAGGTGGGCTGGTTCATCTGCCTCTATAACTAATTCCAAATCAATTTCCTGGCCCGCACCTGCTCAGTAAAACAGACAACAGTTTAACCATCCTGAACAATGATATCGATGCTCAAATCCAAGATGGCGGCGGGAATAAGCTGAGTGGCGCGTAAGTACTTTGGGAAATCTCTCTCACATCTTAGAGCTGATTCTGTTTTAAAAATCTTCTGTTAAGTAATCGTTGATTTGGTTTGGCAGCTGTTGAGCTTTGCTATTGTTTCAAAATGGCTCGTGAAACATGTCTCATGTTTGTTTCCACAGCTGCTTCGAGTTCTTCTAAACTTTCACGAGTGTTTTACAACTCGATAGAAACACAGAGAACACGTTTTCTATTTCTATAAGAAAACACCTCAACGAAAGAAAACAGACAAAAAAAAACGTTATTTAAGTTGATCATCAAAATGCAAATTCTCTTTGCTCGCGCCATCTTACAGGAACAGTCGTGCTAGTTCTGTGTTTCTATCATAGACTTGGCTTTTAACCAATCAGCGCGCCTATTTTCTTTGGGTTAACTTCTAGCAGGAGGGCAACTGGTTTTCACAGGTGGGCAAAACTATAACAACTGAATTTCTTTGTAAGAAAAAATTTCCGCTAGATGGTCAAACCAGCCGGGCAAAATTGTCCTTATAGCCGGTCAATTTGCCCAGTACCCCGCCCTTAATGAAGTAATTGCATTGTACTTGAATTGAAATCAACTGCATATCTTCACATACCTATGAGAGATGACGGTGGTTCCACTGATATTCTCCATGAAGTCCCTTCCACGTTTCTCCACGCAACACTGGCTTCAGAGACACTGTTGTTNAAAAAAAGGAAAATAAATGAATTAACAAACCATTACTTGTGGCTTATCGTAACGACGTCCAACGTCTGCGTAAAAGTCTAGTCTCAATTCCCTCGAGACGGATTTCCCTTTCGAGGTACAGGAATTCCGCTTTGCGTAACAGCCTCTTTCGCCCATCGTCATACGCAGCTTTTCACTTGGACAACCAATCCTGAACTTGAATGACCAATAAAAAAATCCCTTGGTTCCATTTTTACGGGATGTGCTTAGGTTCGCGCATCAAATGTTTTCCGTCCACACCACGCCGAAGGAATTTAAAAACACAACAATCACCGGTCATTTTGGATTTGTGTTTGAGGAGAACTCGGTCAGGGGGGTCACATGATTATGCTGACGCCATCGTTTTTAAAAAGCTTCCTTTTCAAAATGTTTTCCGCAAACAAGAAAACGAAAAACCGGCGTTTTCAAAAAGCTTCGGTTTCATGATGGATTAGCGCAGACGGTGGGCCTAACGGTAGAAATAAAGTTGCGTTTTCAAATTTCTCCGGCGTAGTATGGACGATGCCTCAGATTACAATAATGATTTTCAGTACCTCTCTTGGCGCGAATTCCAGCATGAAGTCCACAGATTCATTAGGTGGCAATGTGCCCATATTTGGCGTGATCTTGAACACGCCGTGATCGTCCCGAGTCCGCTTCACCTGTGATGACGTCACTGAAGGCTGCACAGGCACACCAGGAGGAACAGGGCACTTAAAGAATGGCTTGTAAAGTTTCCAGCGGAACGGTAGGGCAACATTCCTGAACGTAATATAGCGAAGATGACCCTTCATTTCCCAACACTGTTAAGCCCTAGCCAAACGGACTCGCCAGTAGACGCATATTAAAAGCTTGGGTCTACGTGCGACTCCGTTTGGCCAGGCCTTGCGTGCACTTGCGTTGACTTGCCATGACTTGCGCTAACTTTGGTCGAGATCAAATTTGCACGTAAGTTGACGCAAGTTAGTGACGTTAATAGTAACCCATTAGCCAATAAAATAAAGAAAATGTCTGCCTTGAAATGGGTTTCTAGCGACTTGCGTGAACGTGCGAATTCGTTTGGCCAGTGGCCACCCAACGCAAAATGTCCGTGTAAAATTGCAATAGCGAACAACGATTAGCCGGAGAGACAGACTAAGAGGAAAGTTAGACACTGCAGTGCTGGCAAAGTGCTGCAAAATAGAAAATTTGACAACCTTAAAACGTTAAAAGGGAAAACAAAAAATATATATTTCGAAGGTGAAATCATGTGATGAACCACAATAGGCCATTTCCGAGTTACCTCGTGCCTCTGTGCCAAAATGAGTCTTTGTGTGAAACCATCCATATGAAAACATATAAAAATATGTTCCGCCTACAAACTCATTTTCATACAAATCAAACTCATTGTCATATGAAAAGTTTTGCACTAAGACTCGTTCAAACAAGTTCCGTCGGTCAGGGCCACTTTCATTTAGAGTGAGCATAGAGTTAGAGTTTTACTAACTTCCAACTGGAATTTACATACTCACGTCGTATTTTTGATGACCAGAGTCTTGTCTGTAATCGTTCCAGGGTTTTGCTCATCGAATCTGATAAAATGTTGCGCAGATATATCTCTCATTTCTCCAAGCTCTGATTCATTGAGTCCGCCAGATACAGAATCAAGCTCTACTCCGGCCATTTGACCCGTGCCTGAAAGAACATAATACACAAATAAAACACGTATAGAATACACAGCGCATAATACAGGCCCGTGCTGTTCGAAAGGTGGATAACGATATTCACTGGATAAATCCTTATCCAGTGGATAGTGTGGTTTATTTTGTCAAGTTATCCGCTGGATAGCGATTTATCCGGTGGATAGCGTTTTCCAGCCTTCGAACTAGGGCCTGATTGTTGCCTTTGTATGTTCAGCAAACACAGAAAACTAACTCTCCCCGTAAAAAGCGGAGTTCACATCAAACACAAACTATTTATTTTTACCTTCAAGTGAAAATTCCTTTACATGACAGTTGTCGCAAACAAACACCACTTCTTCCTTGAAGTACTTAGCTGATGTAGGGCAAAACGTGATCTGCACAATAACCATAGAATATAGTGTCGTGAACATTTTATCTGCAAATTCAAAAAAGATAGCTGCCAAGGGGTTAGATAGACATTCGTATGTCCGCGAAAGTGTTTTCTCGATTTCTGTCATTCGCCAGTAATTCGGAAAAATCGAAACAAGTTTTGCACATTATTCAGCTAAAATTATCAGTGATGTGGAGAAAGCTTTGTTCGACTGAAGAATAGCAAATCGCCATCCGTACGCTTCGTTTCGCGTTGTCGCTAATTTAAAACCGACCAAAATTCAAGCGCGCTTTCCGCCATTGATTACTTCGAGTTCGTTTCTTGCTTTGTTCGTGTTGATGCCACAAAATTTCACGGTCATTCGAAAATCGCCCTAAGGTACACCAAAATTGTTTCGTAAATATCATCTGTTCAATGTCAGAGCATATAGTTCATTTCCTCGATGTGCATTTTCTTTCAATAATTTCGCGTGAAAATAGAGTGAAACCTGGAATGGAAGTCAGAAAAGCACCAGATGGATAACGGAAAACAAACAAGGAATAAAAATGGTCAAGATTTGCGAAAATTCACTCAGGTTTTCGGCAAAGATTTTTTTCTAAGAATGGGCCATACAATAATCACAATTAAGTTACCTCCAGTGTAGTCACTTCTCCAGCATTTAGCTTGAACATGGCTGGTTTTAATTCAAACGGTTCAGCATAAATTGAACCTGGATCTTCAAGATTCCACTGCAACGCCAAGAAAATCCATTGAAGACAGAGCATGTACATCAATTTTTATATTTTTTTCAATAGATATGGCTTATTGACAAGGGGTGAGGGCAAGATATGGACCAAGGTTTTTACTTTTTACGTGTTTATGGACCGAGACGTAGCCGAGGTCCATAAACTCGCAAAAAACGAGGCCAATATCCAGCCATCTTGACCGAACAAGCTTGATCAATAAGTACTAGTTTCCTGCGGGACACAGCGGGTAAGATAGCGAGCGGGCAAGATGGCGTTACCTTGCCCGTTCGGGTGGCCAATAGTAGCGCAGCATCCGGTTCATCTCGCCTTCTCACAAAGCTAGCCATATAATAGTAGAGTTGACGTTACAGTTGTACAGTTGACGTTGAACAACACTTCATGTATCACACCTGAAAAGTAGTTGTGGGCCAATGAGATTTCCTCATGATGCAAAACTTGCCGTCCCCTCCTTTGTTTTCACAAACAAGTTGAACGACCTTCCGGCCTCCCACCAGAGTATGTCCACAGTCAAGTATTGGAGATACTGAACAAATCAAACAAAAGGAACTAGTTACAACAATACATGGGCGATAAGGGATGGGAAACATGGGGATAAATAAGCCACAGGAGATGGGAGAGGAACGATGGGAAGTGGGATTTTTGAAAACGAACAAGTGAACGAACGAGTAAATGAACGAACAAACAAACAAGCGAAGGAACGAACAAACGAGCAAGAAAGCGAACGAACGGACGGACGAACGAACGAAGGAACGAACGAAAGAATAAATAGGTGGGAAGTGTAAGAAAAGCAAATTTTTCATTCATTAAGCGACATGTAATTATAGATGATTATTGCACCAATTATTATTATTTTTTAAAATCATGACAGTCTATGTGTCTGTATATCTGATGTCAACTTGTCACTCACAAGAGAGTAAAGGAGGGGGCCTTCTTCCTTGAAAGGCGATAATCAATGGAGGGTCCACCTGTGTCTTTATCTAAAATCATGTCCAAATAAAGTTATTAATTAGCACTTTCATGAGTGAATGTTAGCAGTTTAATTGACCCCTGAAAGTTGTAAAATTGTTAAAGAGAAAACACATCGATAAACGTTTACTAGTGCATGTGCCTTGTGCAAGCTTTATCAGTGACTTGGACCGGATGATGGCACTTCAAGCGAGGTAAAATTGCTTCGTGAAAAGCCTCATTTAACAATTAATCTAAGCTAATCTAATTAATCCAATCGTTTTAGCACAAATCTACTTGTCCTTCAAAACTATGTCTAAATCCTTTTCACAGGCACTTCGAAAACGCACATGAAACGGCCACCGTTTTTTTTTTAACAACCGCACACTGCTACCGACTACTAACTATCTACAGCAGAATAGATAGCGCAGCCAATAAGAGAACAGCACTTATAGAAGGATAAAACGCGAGATTTATAATAATCCGCTGTTAGATCATTGCCTTGGACACGCAGTGTAATAAAACTTAAGCGTGGATTTACACTTATTTGTATAATTTAATTTACATGTACATTCACGGTTACCTTGATGACATCATCATAGTCTGCCAGAGAATCAGGAGCAAATTTGACGGGATACTGACAACTTAGACCAGGTGCTACCACACCATGCTCTCCAGGGAACCTCCCTAAAACGACACCACACTGGTTTACAGAATGTTGAAATACCCACAGCACATCCAACAAAAATGGAAAATTTGAAACAAGGAATTACACCCATTTGAGAAATCAAAGAATCAGCTGGTTGTACAAACAACTTGTAAACATGCATTCCAAGTAGATTGCATTGATATTAGGGATGGGGTTACAGGTGTATGTGTTTCAGTGCACTGTTGCCTGCTAGAGTTTTGAGGACATGAGAGAAGTGCAGTCAGAGGTCGATGTGCATTGATGAAAGATTTGGGCGTAAGGTGAAACCGATACAGTGCAAATGTACTACTTTTTCATGCCTGCGGTGAAAGGAAACAACTGCTAATGCACAGACTACAGCTACAATTCGATTGACTTAAATGCACTCATGTATCACTTCTTATTGAGTTTGATTTGTCAACTTACCTAACCCAACAGAAAAGTATTTTGTACTTGGCGGAGTTATCCTCAATTGACGACTTGATGATGAAACATTCTTCAGTTCCAGAAGTAACTAAAATAAGACGGAACATGTAATTTTTAATGCATGTCCTTTATTTCAAAATACAAACATTATTTACAACATGGTATGGAGTCGAATAAAAATTATTTGTCCCAAAAGAAACAACAAAACTTAAGCTAATAACTTGCACAGTTATGGCATGCAGAGCATGTATCTTGAGTGAATATTTACCAGTCAAAATACATTTATGTACCGAGGAGGGCGGTGTAAGAGGCACATTTGCCTCATGGTTAATACACTCGACTCCGGATCGAGCAGTCTGGGTTCGAGCCCTGGCCGGGGACATTGTGTTGTGTTCTTGAGTAAGACACTTCACTCTCACAGTGCCTCTCTCCACCCAGGTGTATAAATGGGTACTGGCGAACTTAATGCTGGAGGTAACCTTGCAATGGACTAGCATCCCATCCAGGGGGGAGTAGAAATACTCCTAGTCCCTTCATGCTACAGAAACCGGGAAAAGCTCTGACCTGATGGGCCACTTGACTCGTATGCAGACTTTACCTTACAGAGCAAAGGTATTGAATAAGGGGTTGTTTTGGTGGAAATACTTAAATCTAAGAGCTGAGCCATGAAAACTGCCTACTTCCAGTGGTTCTAGAGAGGTCCACATATAATTCATCCATCAATCTGTGATAATTGTTCCACATTATAAATCTTCTTTTCCACACCTCATAAACGTGTCCAACTTCATAGGCTGTAAACACAACCGGAGATGGAGAAGCAATGAAGACTTCAACAGGATCAGCAGTTCTGAAAACAAGAGCACTCTAAACTTAAAAGTTTATCCAAAAAAAAAAAAAAACATTCAATACTGGTATTTATACCATACCATAGAAAATACAGCCAATCAGAATACAGGAAAGCTGTTGTATATTTGATGATATTACATCCAACCTTCTCATCATGCGACATATGTATGTCACATTCAGTGTGTTGGCCACAGTATTTTCATGGCACGGTATAAAATAGTTATGCAATGTTCTCTTGTGGTATACCATGCAAAATCCCAATTGAAAGCGTTGCATAACTAGTACGTCTTTAATAAGTTATTTACTTGCAGTTGTCTTTTTTGCTATTAAAAATAGGTGTATTTATAGTTCATCCATGAATCAGAAACTCTGATCAAACCCTTCATGGTTTGTGATACAGTAATTCAAATGAAAGCTTTTTGCCCAGTACATGTACAAGCCTTCATTTTGTACTAGTTAAAACTCTAAATGCACTACGAGATTTTTCCAACTTTTAAGACTTTGGATGAAACCCTAGTGTGTGAACCTACACATGTATACTTTTTATGTGATACAGACTGTTTAACTTTGTGTATTCAATAGTTCCCAAAGTACAAAGCATGTACATTAAATATACAGAAGCATTGTGTAGAATTTTTTGGTATTCAATTTTATGCACAATGCAGCAAAGAGTTAATTACTTGACTGAGTTAACTATTGATAATCACTCTTGCAATTTATATACATGTACATGTAGTGGTGGATATCCTGCTGAATTTCCACTTGTCTTGACTATGGAAAGAAAGCGATTCAAAATGCTTTTGAAGCTAATCATACATGTAGAACTTACTTGTTCTCTTTGTCAGTCTCCAATTTCTTTTTCTTTTTCTCCTTGGATGGTTTAATGAGACCGCCCTTGAGGGGAGGCACAAATCGTGGGTTCCTTTTATACTCTGCTTTACTCTGTAACTTTTTCAGATCTTCTCGCTCCACTTGCCGCTGATCAGGCTTCATCGATTCTCTCCACACTGAAGATTTTGAGAGCCTGCTTTTGGCCTTAAATTGGAAACAACTCTTTGTTACAAGTTGTTTATTGTATTGTATTATTTTAGATTTTTATTGTTACATAATACTATTTTAACCTAGGTTTGGAGCTTAAATGATTGAAATGTGACTGTTTCAAATAAAATTGAAATGTCTCTAACACTGTAGACCTAAAGAAAATCAGGTAAGACGTAACTCTGTGTCAGTGCTAAAAAACATCCCCTCTAGAGACAAAAATCTTACCTCACTATAAATGTACATGTACTCTCTAGAGAATACAAATTCTAAAAATTCATTACTTGTTCATTACCATGAGAGTTTGAAAATCTGATCTTAATTAGCATTGATTTCTTTGATTTCTATTTGCCTGTTTTCTCATTACTTTAAGCTTCAATTGAGAAGATAATTGTATATCAAACTGTTTGACATGTTTGAAACACTTAAGACAGTATTTGACCAAATTTCCAAACACCTCTAGGTTGGTCAAAAATACTCTACTATGCATCCTTTTTTCAATCCCTTTCTTTGTGTTTGGAAATGTGGTCAAACACAGTATTTTGTGTTTGATATATTACTTATTTATAACAGATTGTTAATCAAATTTTGTGCATACATATGTGGGGTCCTAAAATCAAGTTAGCACCTGTCCAGTGATTACCCTAAGCAGCATTTGTTTTTAATCTAGCTGAAATAGCCCCATTGAAGGAGTGGTCAATTATTGAAGATATTTTATATTTACTTACACTTGGCAGTGGGGACATGTCCAAATCTCTCTTGTCTTTTGCCTGGGTGGGTGGAAGTGATGCCCACGGCCACGTAGATGTCGAAAGGGCAGTATCATCCAGGTAGTCTGTTATTGGAGGGGTTTTCCTATGTCGCTGTTGAGATGACGTGGTGGGTCTGGCGTAGCTTGGGATTTCATCAGCTGTTAATTATCAAGGTGTAGAGAGGACTTAATTAGATGTACATGTATTACATGCAATGGAATTCCATTTTTTGTATAGAACAGACAAGCTGTTCTTACTTACTTGAGGCTAATCGTGCCATGTATATGACCTTCCAGAAAATACTTTGTACAGACTTACAATGTATATGTACATATGTATGTCGATATACATGCATCAGGTAATACAAGAAACGAACATTTAAATGTTAACCCAAGTCACCACATGAACTGGATATATATACAATGTACATGTACATACAAAATATTTTAAACCAATTTCAAAGTCACACAGTAATTATTTGAAAATAAATTCTCAGCAACATCTATGGCATACATTGTATAATACTATCCTAGATTTCCGTCTTTCAATAAGGGATTGCCAATACAGTATTTATACTCTAGACAATGTAACCATGGAAACTGACCTTTAGGGGCCTTGGATGGAGTCACCTCCTCTGATGAGAAGTCCTCCGGTACAATAAGGTTGTGACGTCGAAGCAGCTGAGTATCTAGACAGTTCCTAAGGCTTGACTTTGCTGAAAAAAGGATATTACAGGGAGATAATATATTAAATAAATACAGCATGAATGCAATGAATTTAAAATTACACACAGTTAAAATACTGTGCATACTATGGATAACATTGCCATTTGCTTGTTTTCCCCCCAAGTTCAAGTACCTGGTGGCAAGCCCAGTGCTTGATAATTTTCATATCCTTCAGAAATTCGCTGCAGCTCTCTCTCATCAGCTGCCATAGCAGCAGCTTGAGCCTGCATTATATGAGCTTCTAACATGTCTGCCTCTCTGTGCCGACGATCACGCTCTTCTTGTATCTAAAAAAAATACATGTAACTATCCTTTTGATACCAAAAAATAATATGAATTATACTGATATCTGTACATTAACTGTAAACGCAGATATTTCTGACAATTTGGTGGTACAGTTGTACATCAAGGAAAAAATCACCAGGTTGTTGACTAATTCTATATCCCCTGGTGTGTCCAATCGACAAAATCGATGATTGATGACAATCGATACCAACCAATATACCTATTGATATAATTTAATCGATTAATATTGACAATCGATGACCAATCAAAGAAGAGGATTTGTGTGACCTTTTATCAACTGCCATCAATTTTCAATAGCAATCGATGGCCTAATTGGTATGTTTCTCTATTTTCACCCAGGTTTCACTAATACACTGAGATATTTGTGTGTAGTGTCAAGGGGGAATCCACAAGCTCAGATTGAAGGTGGCCAGCTGCCCACGTTCCAATAGATACCAATTAACTAATTTTAAATATGCAAGCAAAGGTCGAATTTCGTGTGTTTACAAATACATGTATCCTTGCCTTTGAATCATCGAGTTAAACTGTAGCTCTTAGTTTTGCTGTTATCATGTTTATTTCTGCCTACGCAACCTTTCTCTATGATTTCAAAAAGAAACCAAAAAGAGCTATAAAATTTCGGATACATAAGTTATCTTCTGGTTGTCTAAAAAGCGAAGACCGAAGACCGAAGACCGAAGACCCCTCGAAAATGAAGACCCCCTAGAAAACAAAGACCTCGAAAACGAAGACCCCTAGAAAAGGAAGACCCCCTAGAAAACGAAGACCCC